CCGCCTCCAGGAACCTGGAGGAAAACAGAGCTGGGATGTCGCGTGGCACGACGGTGGGTTGCAGTATATGCTCTGCACGGACATTCCCCCCTCCCCCAGATCGCTCTGAATTCAGGCAGAGCAAAGTGCTTTTTGTCTGCTGGTGGTGTTAAAGCTGGGACCACCCTTGGCTCGCGTGGCTGGACCTTCCCAGGCTCAGCCCTGAGCTGGGGGCCTGGAGGAAAACAGAGCTGGGATGTCGCGTGGCACGACGGTGGGTTGCAGTATATGCTCTGCACGGACATTCCCCCCTCCCCCAGATCGCTCTGAATTCAGGCAGAGCAAAGTGCTTTTTGTCTGCTGGTGGTGTTAAAGCTGGGACCACCCTTGGCTCGCGTGGCTGGACCTTCCCAGGCTCAGCCCTGAGCTGGGGGAGGAAGGATTTAGGGACCCTCTGCTGTTACACGTGTCTCTGCAGCTCTGAAAATGACCTTTTTTACACCATCCTGGCCCGGCTGATTCTGCTTCTTTCCCCACTGCTCTCATTAACCGTTACCCACCAGCAGCTGGGGACAGAGGTGGCCTTCACCCAGCTGCTGCCCCTGCAGCTGTTTGTAACGGAGTTTTCCCTCTCGGGTTTGAATCCCGGCTTTCCGAGCACAGCCATCAAGGAGAACACATCTGCCTTGGTTCGGAAGGCCCTGCAGGTAAGGCAGCACCCAGGCTGTGGTGGGCACCGTTTGTTCATGAAGCTGTATTGCAGCTTACGGCTGAAAAGCACGAAATGCTGCAACATCCTTCTTTTTTGCATCCCGCCGCGTCTTTGCGATCGTCATTTCCGAGAATGCATGGAGAGAGTTGTTGAAATCACAAAGTAAATTAATCTAACAAATTACTTTTTGATGACATCACCATTATAATGGAAGAAGAACCATTATTATTGAGATCTGTGTTAGTGGAGGGTTTCCCTGCCCATGGCAGGGGGGTTGGAACTGGATGATCTTTGAGGTCCCTTCCAACCCAAACCATTCCGTGTTTCTATGATTCTAAGAAGGCTGTTGGTGATAATCATACCATATGTGAGGAGGACAGTTTATGTCTGGACAGGGGATAATATTCTGCACTTTGTTCCCCAGGAAATGGCTCTGCTGAAATGTAGGACATACTTCATAGCTGAAGTCATGGAAGAATTGACCACCCGAGTCCCCAAAACACCCATTAAAAATCTTGAAGGTGGGTCGCGAGCCGTGTGCCGAGCCCCCAGCCTGCTCCTGCTGCATGGGGAGCACAACTCAAGCGAAACCTGGAGATGGAAAACCCAGGGGAGCTGCACCCCACATGGCACAGCCGCTGGCACAGCCCACACCCCACGGCATCGCCGCCAGCCCATCACCCTGTCCTCCCGCCGGAGCCACGGGAGCTCCACACCAGGAGCAGAAAACCTCTCCCTCTGATGCCTCCCTGCTGGGAAGGACCAACTGTCACAGGTTTTTAGCCCAGTGTGGAAACAGAGAGATGAACTGGAGCAGAACTGCAGCAGAGCTCCATCAGCGTGACCCCAAACTTGGGTCGAAACCCCAACAATTCGACTCATGCTCAAGAGGCACGAGCTGCCTAAGGGCTTTTGCCTGCTCCCCCTCGTTTGGCCCCCCGCCGTGGCTCGTGGCTTGTGCAGAAGACATCCCGATGACACTGAAGATGCCTCCTGCTCGATTTTCTCCTGGATTTCTGCATGGCTCCTGCTGTATTTTCCAACCGCGGCTTCGCCTGCCCGGTGCTGTACTCCCGCCCTGCTCACCCGCTGCTACTCGGTGCCCTGCTCACCCTTGCCACACGTCCTACGGCTCCTTCGGCCACGTACCGATCCACCCTGCGCTCCTCTGTTGCCAAAACAGCCCCGGAATTGCAGCCCAGGCTGGCCCTTCTCGAAGGGATGGCATGAGATGTTTGGGCGTACTCTGTTCTCATCCTGAAAAGCCCGGACACGGGCATCTGCTCGCACGGGGATGTCCGCAGGGAGATGCCAAAGCCTCAAGTGTGAAAGAAACTTTTTGTGCAGCTGCTCGTCCTGCCCTGGGGAGGGGGGCTGCGGTCGGACACTCTATGTTGGTGTGACAGGGGGATCTGGCATCACAGAAAGGGTAAATACATTTATTCCAGTCCGTCTGTGCCTGTTTCCTGGTGCGGCAATTCGATATTCCCAGGGCACGGGATGCAAGAACCAACCAACCAACCAACAATGTTACTGTTGGCTCGTCAACCGGCCATCTAGGATTGGAAAATTTTCCTGAGAAGTTGATAAAATTTGGTGCGGTAGCTTAGCGAACGCCTCCCTTCAGATGCCCCGGGGCAAGCCCCTGCCTTCATCACCTCATCATCCTCCTCTCACC